GTTCTACGCTACATTAACCTCTGATCATTGTCCACGAGCGAAACTGTTCCCCCCATCTGTTATGGTCAATCCCTTAGCTGTCTCGTGAGAAAATGATTTGATGCTACGATCTTTAAAAAAGTTAGCAAACTTCTTTTCCATAACCAGAAAAGACTGCACGCATCCTTTGAGTAACAGAACAACGAAAGAACAAAGTAGCTGCATGCTACGGATAGTCCCGCCTTGAAAAATAGCATTTTTGCAGCTGTTTCAGCACCATGTCACACACAGCCATTCAGGGGCGCGAAAGTGGAGACCGAGACCACGAAATGTTAAAATTTATAATGATTCTCAGCGAAAATAACGAAATACTTATTTTAGTAGAAGAAAGGTCTGAAGACGGAGTACTTCGTTCATGCGATAGTAATCATACTAAAATCCAAAAATAGCATGATCTATGTAAATGCAACGTAAAAATTGGTCCTTCAAGTGACGGACCATTCATTTTGAAAGTTACGGTTGAAAAGGATACAACTACTACATACGACTTCAACGCCAACCGAAAACCATAGCCAGTTTTACCCTTTGAGATACAGGACGTGTTGGTAGTGGCCTATCATCTGATACACCACTTCTTTGCGTAATGCATATACTGTATTTTAGTACAGGGAGCTTCGGTTGACGTCGTACAGATAACAGAACCATCGTTTGTCCACAGGGCAAACCATGACAACTGTGAGGATGAAAGCATTTCTTAACTTCCTAAATAGTCCCTTTGTTAATTATATTACTTCAGTCATCCTGTACCTCCAGCGACTGCATTGGACGGCTTCTTTTGCACTGGCACTAGGTGAATATGAAGTTTCGAAAAATCGTTATCCTTTCTAGCTAACATCACGATGCTAGCAAAATCTTATCAAAATACGGACTGTCGAAGAATATTGGTCTGATGAAGTAGGCGGCTAATGGCAGAGACAAATTTCGGCTGTCATTCATAACCCTACAAGGGACTGTTTTGTCATGTCTCACCACAGTATTTA